TCTCCTCTTCTCTCGTCCCTCGCTCTCTCTCTCTCCTCGTCGCTCGCTCTCTCTCTCTCTCTCTCTCTCTCTCTCTCTCTCTCTCTCTCTCTCGCTCTCTCCCCCTCTCTCTCTCCCACAGACTGCGGCGGCAGCAGCCGAGTCCAGGTCTGTTTGTGAAGATGCGCTCGGCTCGGTTCAGTCCTGAGAGCGCAGACGGTCCAGCCAGCGACGTGGATGAGGAGGAGGAGCAGCTCCAGATCCCATGACGCTCACACCTGCAGTCATACAGGAAATACTTCACACAAACATCAGCTGACACATGAAGAACTTGAAATAGTTTGTCTTTTGTGCAAACGTTGTATCTTCAGAGACATTCTGCAACAGGAAGCAGCGGTCTACTGCTCAACCAGCAAGTTCTTAAAGGACCGCTGACACATTATGGGAGATATTTTACCCAGATCAAAACATCAAATCATTTATCTCTGTGCATCCATGCAAAATGCTCATTTTAGGCAATTAATGGATGCACATTTTAATCAAAATAAAAGAATCATTAAAAAACAGAAGCGTTCATCTGGAGTTTAAACATGACCAAAGCAATGTGACAACGTTTCCTCACCGCAGAAAAATGATTAGCACGCACCTAATCCTGATGCAGAACACACACATTCTCATACACACTCACACACACCTCAGCAGACTTGCATTAATGGACGCACAGCAACAAGATGAAAGCAGCAGGCGTGTGACAGACTTTAAGGCTGTGCTGAATGAAAGGATCTTCTTTACTGGAGCAGTGATTCATTCTTACCCCTGTCCCCTCTGTCCATCCATCAGCAGTATTAATACTCTCCGCTGTGAAGAAAATATGCAGCATTGAAAGCCTGCACTTCTGCAATTTAAAGCGCTGCATTGAAAAACAAAAATGTCTATTCATTCCAATGGAATCTGAACATATGGTGAACTTTGACAAATAGCTCTATACTCTGTCCGAGTATAAATACTTACTTTATTAGTATTACCCACAGAGCTGTGCAGCATGCCCACCTGAAAGTTAGCATCGAGGGGTTCCCTACACAAAATGCAATGGGATTTTTCTATAAAATGATCTCTGTGATAAACACACGTTTATGATACTTATGGGTTATGTTCAGATGAATAACCTCCACATATGAACACCGCTTTATGATTTTTAAAGTGTAAATGCAGTTATCAGAAGTAAAAAGTTAATGCTAGGCTGTAAACAAACTACATCCCATTCCATGAGGGGGCATACTATAGGAACTAAAACATAATCAGACGTAATAATGTTGGCTAGCGTATTAGTGCTAAGCTTGCAAGATACAGTGTTTCCCTCCTCAGTCCTCTAACACAGGGGTTCCCAACCTTTATTGTGCCAAGGACCGGTGCTTGAACAAATAGCTCTACACCCCTGGCCGACATGTCCTTAAAATGAAGTCAGAGTTTGAAATATATCTCAAATAATGTATGCACTGCCATTTCCCCACATAAACATAACAGTCTGCAATGAAACGGTTGTCTCCTGTGCGCTCCTCTTCCTACTTGGCGCACCGGTAACTTTCTCGTGCGCATGAGAGGCTGAGCCGCCGAATCCCTCGGAACTGGTCTGCGGCCCGGTGGTTGGGAGCCCCTGCTCTAACACGTCCCATTCAAACGCTAGAAAGCAGAAGTATTGTGCTTTGAGAGGAACAGATTTCAAGCTAAATATCCATCAGTGAAGCATTTAAGGTTAAAGCTTTTGGTTGAGATTTGAGGTTTCTTTTCCAGAATTGTAGTCCAATCCTGTGGAAATAGAAGCTTTCTTCACAGCAGAATACAGAACTACATTATGGATGCAAACCTTTAACACAGCAGAGGCTCGGAAAACATCCAAAGCTCTCGTGCGGCTCTCACTTTGTTGCTTCAGGTAAGTTTTATGCTGCGTTTGTACTGAGCTTCAAGTATTTATATCCAGTAATTCCCTCAGGACTGATTTTAGTTTGGACTGAAACATGTCTCAAGCAGCATTCAGACATCATGGGAGAGGGAAACCCAGTATGATGCCTGTAGGTTTAATATTCCCAGGGTCCACAGAGACGGCCATGAATCCAACAGTAGAGGGAGGTTCAGATACAGTGTGTGTTAAACTGAACACTTAAGTTATTTCTACCAAGCTAGCCCGGGCTAAATCTGTTTCTCTGAACCCTCACGCTGGAAGGGGACCAAGATATTTTTACTGATCAGGATTCTGAACTATTTATGTCGTAATGGTTTTAGTTTTTATAAATGATCTGTACCACAGTGGTTTTGTATTAGCCCTATAAATGTCTACTGTATATATAAAGAAACATGAGTCTGTGTCTTCTTTCTACACTTTTTCTGTGTCAGAGTTCTTTGTACTGTGCACACCAGTGAGGCCTCAGTGCTGCTGACTTTAGGGTTGTTGTCCTCAAGGTTCTCTTAAAACTGGCCAGCAAGTAACCATGGTATTGATGTTAATGTTAATCAAATCCTTAAAGAAATGCAGACACTTATTATGGTCAGGATTTCTTCCAGTGTTTTCACCACTGCCATTCTGATATATTCTCACTTGGCAGGTGTAAGCTGAGGATCCATAGAAGTGTGAGCTCTGCGTTCTGGACACACTATGTTGTGATAAGAGACCCCTAATGATCAGAGAATGGTCTTTTTTGTCTAAAAAGGTTCCCAACTTTATGAAATGACCCTGATATTTTAAGTGCCAGCCATGATAAGATCTGTTTAAATTATTAAAAGGCTAAGGAAATGTCCTTCAATGGTTCCTTTCTTATCTCCTTTAGCTCAGGAAACAGTCGACCATCTTTGTGTAGACTGGTGCGTACTTGAGTTTTTCAGTTGCTGAAAGAAAATCCAGAAATGGACAACCAAAGTCCCTTTCATATAGTGCTAGTTTCAAGATACAGTATACTTTAGATTATATTAGCCCTGCTAAAATAGGAGCTGCTAAATCTGCATACTTTAAGCAAACCTGGTGACAAAATCTAGAGCACAGTGGATCTAAAGTTCTTGCTGTTAAAATGCTGATCTGCTAGTCTGGTGATATTTTATATTTGTATTATTGTTAACAAAACCAAAGGAGACAACCAAAACCAACAACATGTTCATCTGTGTTGCTCAAACAGGAGTAAATGGTGCATTTGTTGGGCCTATTTTGTATGGCAGATTAAACCCATTTTGTTTTTCTTTTTAGAGTATTTGTGTTTACTGAGTCAAAATAATCTACAGTGTGATTATGTTAATTTAGGGGACATGCCACATAAGATAAAATGGAACTTTATTATTTAAATTACGTTTTTAGTAGCAACAGGTAGTCTTGTAGTCGAGACCACCTTATCATATATCCTTATAGTCCATTTAGCTTAGGAACCTTCCTAACGGAGTGAAATGACCCGGAAGTCCCTCAGTGGCAGCCATGATAAGAGCCGTTCGAATTCTCTAGATGATAGGAAAGGAGGTTTCAAACTTCCTTTATAACCTCCTTATATGGAATGCCATTTAAGCCACAATTAAATAAATAAATACATATATATATATAAATATGCCTATGAAATAAATAAATGAGGCAATAAATATGTATACATTTAAATACACATTTATTTATTTCATGGGACTTTTATTTCATGATGACACATTGAACATCAAAAGACCTCATGAAAGACGACACAGGAAGTGAGGATACCCGGCCCGGAGGAAGCCCGGGGTCCCCTTCTGGAGCCAGGCCCAGAAGGAGGACTCGTCGGCGAGCGTCTGGTGGCCGGGCTTGCCACGGAGCCCGGCCGGGCACAGCCCGAAAAGGCAACGTGGGCAACACCTCCGCTTCTCCGTCCCGCGGGCCCACCACCTACGGGAAACAGCGATGGGGTCGGGTGCGCTGCCAGAAGGGTGGCAGTGAAGGCAGAGGGTCTCGACGGACCAGACCCGGGCGACAGAAGCTGGCTTTGGGGACGTGGAACGTCACCTCTCTGGGGGGGAAGGAGCCGGAGCTTGTGCGGGAGGTGGAGCGTTACCAGTTGGATCTGGTTGGGCTCACCTCTATGCACAGCGTCGGCTCTGGAACCTTACTTCTGGTTAGGGGTTGGACTGTTGTGTGTGCTTATGCACCAAACAGCAGTTCAGAGTATACAGCCTTCTTGGAGACCCTGGAAAGAGTCCTGTATGGGGCTCCTGAAAGGGACTCTTTAATCTTGCTGGGAGACTTCAATGCACATGTGGGCAATGATGGAGACACTTGGAGGGGCGTGATTGGGAGGAACAGCCCCCCTGATCTGAACCGGAGTGGTGGTTTGCTACTGGACTTCTGTGCTAGTCATGGATTGGCCCTAACAAACACCATGTTCGAACATAAGGATGCTCATAAGTGTATGTGGTACCAGAGCACCCTAGGCAGAAGGTCCATGATCGATTTCGTTATCGTATCATCGAACCTGAGGCCGTATGTTTTGGACACTCAGGTAAAGAGAGGGGCGGAGTTGTCAACTGATCACTATCTGGTGGTGAGTTGGGTCGAGTGGCGGGGGAAGCCTCTGGATAGACCTGGTAATCCCAAACGTGTAGTTCGGGTGAACTGGGAACGTCTGGAGGAGGCCCAAGTTCAGGAGGCCTTCAACTCACACCTCCGGCGGAGCTTTTCGGGCATTCCTGTGGAGGTTGGGGACATTGAACCAGAGTGGTCGGTGTTCAAAGCCTCTATTGCCGAAGCCGCGGCGGGGAGCTGTGGTCTCAAGGTCTTAGGTGCCTCAAGGGGCGGTAACCCTCGAACCTCCTGGTGGACACCGGTGGTCAGGGAAGCCGTCCGACTGAAGAAGGAGGCCTTCAGGGATTTGTTATCCCGGGGGACTCCCGAGGCCATGGCCGAGGCAAAGCAGCGGGTGTGGGAGAAGTTCGGAGAAGACATGGAAAAGGACTTTCGGGCGGCACCAAAGTTGTTCTGGAAAACTGTCCGACACCTCAGGAGGGTGAAGCAGGGAACCATCTAAGCTGTGAACAGTAAGGATGGGACGCTGTTGACCTCAACTGATGGAGTGTTAGGGCATTGGAAGGAACACTTTGAGGAACTCCTGAACCCGACAACTCCGCCCTCTATGTTAGAGGCAGAGCTGGAGTATGACGGGGGATCAACACCAATCTCCCGGGGGGAGGTCACTGAGGTCGTCAAACAACTCCACAGTGGCAGAGCCCCGGGGGTGGATGAGATCCGCCCAGAAATGCTGAAGGCTCTGGGTGTTGAGGGACTGTCATGGTTGACACGTCTCATCAACGTTGCGTGGAAGTCGGAAACAGTACCGAAGGAGTGGCAGACCGGGGTGGTGGTCCCCCTTTTCAAAAAGGGGGATCAGAGGGTGTGTGCCAATTACAGAGGCATCACACTACTCAGCCTCCCCGGGAAAGTTTACTCTAAGGTACTCGAAAGGAGGGTCAGGCCGATTGTCGAACCGGAGTTTCGTAGACTTGGAGAAGGTGTATGATCGAGTTCCCAGGGAGTTACTGTGGGAGGTGCTGCGGGAGTATGGGGTGAGGGGGTCTCTACTCAGGGCCATCCAATCTCTGTACTCCCAAAGCAAGAGCTGTGTCCGGGTCCTCGGCAGTAAGTCGGACCCATTTCCGGTGAGGGTTGGCCTCCACCAGGGCTGCGCTTTGTCACCAATCCTCTTTTGTAATATACATGGATCGGATTTTGAGGCGTAGTCATGGGGGAGGGGGTCTGCAGTTCGGTGGACTAAGGATTGCACCACTGCTTTTTGCAGATGATGTGGTTCTAATGGCTTCATCGGTCTGCGACCTTCAGCACTCACTGGATCGGTTCGCAACCGAGTGTGAAGCGGCTGGGATGAGGATCAGCACCTCCAATTCTGAGGCCATGGTTCTCAGCAAGAAACCGATGGACTGTCCACTCCAAGTAGGGAATGAGTCCTTACCCCAAGTGAAGGAGTTCAAGTATCTCGGGGTCTTGTTCTCGAGTGAGGGAACAATGGAGCGTGAGATGGGCCGGAGAATCGGAGCAGCGGGAGCGGTACTGCAGTCGCTTTACCGCACCGTTGTGATGAAAAGGGAGCTGAGCCAGAAGGCAAAGCTCTCTGTCTACCGGGCCATTTTCGTTCCTACCCTCACCTATGGTCATGAAGGATGGGTCATGACCGAAAGAACGAGATTGCGGATACAAGCGGCCGAGATGGGTTTTCTCCGCAGGGTGGCTGGCGTCTCCCTTAGGGATAAGGTGAGAAGTTCAGTCATCCGGGAGGGACTCGGAGTTGAACCGCTCCTCCTTCACGTCGAAAGGAGCCAGTTGAGGTGGTTCGGGCACCTAGTAAGGATGCCACCTGGGTGCCTCCCTAGGGAGGTGTTCCAGGCACGTCCAGCTGGGAAGAGACCAAGGGGTAGACTTAGGACCAGGTGGAGGGATTATATCTCTTCGCTGGCCTGGGAGCGCCTTGGGATCCCCCAGTCAGAGCTGGTTGATGTGGCCAGGGAAAGGAAAGTTTGGGGCTCTCTGTTGGAACTGCTACCCCCGCGACCCGACCACGGATAAGCGGGAGAAGATGGATGGATGGATGGACATTTATTTATTTCAGGGGACTTTTATTTCATAATGAAACGTTTATTTATTTCAGGGGACTTGTATTTCATAATGACACATTTATTTATTTATTTCAGGGGACTTGTATTTCATAATGACACATTTATTTATTTCAGGGGACTTGTATTTCATAATGCCACATTTCCATTTCTTATATGCAAATGAACAGGGCGTGGTTAGCTCACAGATCCAGACCAAAGCAACAGCACCACAACACTGACTCAATAGCTCTTGTTTCACACTCCAGTACTCTTAAGTGGTTTGCCAATAAACGAAACCGGTTCAAGAACCGTTCTTGTGCTTTTCTGGTGCTTAACTGGTTCTTCTCTGGTTCTGAGTCCAGAGCCAGTTCCGGGCTACAGCCTGATTTAGCTCTGGTTCTTCCTGTTTCAGCCGCAGCGGAGTCGGCTCTAAACACCGAAAACCGGTTCTTAGCTGACCCCTCTTGGCTGCCCGGCAAGAACCAAGAACCACGCTCACGTTGGAAGGGGGCGAGATTAACCTGAGCCATAATAACAGTTTATGGCGAGTACGGAAAATGAAAGTTGTAACAAGCAGTAGCGCTGAGCAAAGTGACTAGAACGCAACCACACACTTATTAAAAAAAACACACTTTATAAAGCCAGGCAACACTAACCAGGCTTCGTGTAATTCTGTTTACCTTACTTTGACCATCCGTTCACTGTCATTGATCATTGTGGAGAGCAGGCAGAAGTGTTGTTTTGTATTATAGCAGCTATCAGATGGAATCAATACAT